TGATACATGCTCTGACAGGAAGTCCGAGTCGGCATGCTTTGGACCTCCCGTGGCGTGTCTTGTTGCTCTACCACGAATAGGCAGAGGTTTTCCAAAATTTCGAGTTGTCTGTTTGCTTCTCTGAGACTGCCGAATACCGGCGGACATGGTCTTAAATGTCTGAAAACAGGCGGCTTGGGTCGAACGTGATGCTCGGTTTGAAGAAGCTACGTAGTTGTCAGAGACTTTCCTGCCGAGACGGGGATTCTTGGATTGTAAACCTCTCTCATGTAAGAGTCTAGCCGTACAAACACAGATACAAATGGTGCAAAACTCTCAAGATTTGCAAGGGATGAGATGGAGGCTTCAAGCTGCGTCAAGATGCTGATCCCAGAGGAGATCAATTTCATAGCATTACGAGCGTCGCCGCAAAGTGTCTACAAGGAGATCAGCACAACTCAATTGCACATACTGAGCAAGCCATTGTAATAAACTGCTTACCTCAATACATGCGAAGACCACAGCAGACGCAAGTGAAATGGCATTTGCCGACTCCTTTCCGACAACAGGGACGAACAGCTGCTGCAGTGCTGTCTGGTAGTGCCGTAGCGCGTTGGCCGTCCGTTCGGTTGGCGGGGCTTGGCGAGGCACTGGCCATGAGATCGGCCAGTTGTGCATGTCCTCGAGCAGAAGCCCCAGAGCAACGGTCGCGTGAAAGATGGCGTCGTAGGCGTTGGCAAGTTGCAGAACGAGCCGCCCCCAAAACTCGCACTCGAAGCCGCTCGAAAGTGCCGGGGCGCCGATGATCTGGAAGAATCTGTATGCTCTACCTTCTCGTTCGTTGAGAGCTAGGGGGTTGAGCGGGCTGGGATTTCGCCGAATTGGCACTTCATGGTGCTTTGGGACCACAGCGTCCTGCGTGTCGCTGGGAGAGGAACGGTGGCAGTCGAATCCAGCATTGAGACCTGAAATACTTAGGCTGGCACACTTTGTAGTTGGAAGACGGCTTTGGCCCGCTTCGCTTACAATTTGCACAAGGCAGCTTCTCGTCGCATTTGATCCTTCGTTCTTTTTGGAGACAGAGGTTAGATACTCAGTACCCCGAAATCACGGGAGATGCTCATTGACTGACTTCTGTAAGCTTGTGAGAACTCGGTGTGACGGAAGGGTCAGAGTCATGAACGAACTTACACACAGCACACCCATTTCGGGATTTAGGGGCCCAGGCTCTTTTGCGTTGGCCGCGCTTGACTTTCGTCATCGCAGTGTCTTTGCTGCGAGGACACGCAGTCCTGCTGCAATAGATTCATGGATGAAATCCTCAAGTGTCAGCTAACAATCGCGTCTCGGCCAAGTTGCAAAGCCTGAGTCTGCCGCGCGTGTCGCCGTATGCGGGTATCAGGTTGTATGGAAGTGTGTGCAGACGTACGTGTGTACATGGCAGCATGTAAATCATCCATTGTCAGTGGGGGTCGGGGTATGTGGGGAGGAGGGACCTACCTGTGTACACTGTAGCACTGTCCCACCTTCGTAAGCCTACGGTATCAATGCCGACGCTTAGCCACGTAGCCATGAGCCACACAGCACAACCCCCTCCTCTGAACGGAACACGCAGGTTAAAATAAAGTATTTTAGAAGTAACGGTACGCTTACTTGGTCTTCAAAGTTCCAGAATTGTCTTACTATTAGTTCAAGTGGAAAATCCCTGGATTAAAGAGTGGCAGAATTGAATCCGCTGTGCTCCGAGTCCACCCATGGATCAAGCCACAGCAGCTTTATTTCACAGGGCGAAGAGAGACGCCGTCTACAGCGGTTAGGTGTAATCGCGAATGTCTTCCTTTACATCAGACTTACACTACCTCTATCTCTTCTAGTTTTCTCAACAGTAGCGATCAGACCATAAGTTGCCGTGAATCAACTGCTTCCAGCTCACAGTAATTGTAACAAACGCCAACTGTTTGGGTTTTCGGTGTCATCATGAACCACGAACAACACTGGGAAACAGGTTTACTCGAAGTTAGGGTCGCGACTATACCCTAATAGATCAACCGTGGCCTGCTTGGACAACCTGGCGTGTCAGTTCAGCCTACCTGTAGATGGCCAATCCAGTTGACAGCCAGAGTGACATCTAAGGCATTGTGGTATGATGCAACAGAACGAAGAGGCAATGTTGTCGACTCCTCATCAGTCCAATTTCCCCAGAGAATCCAGCAGATAATGCGAGAGATCGGGATGGAATGCAACGGTTACCACACACAAATGGAGTTCCTTGGCATGCTGAATTGAATATGGGAAAGTGAAAAAGACTTGGGCCGACATCGTGCTGGAAGCGAATGTTCTGTTGACGATAAGGCAAGTGATCCCTCAACTCAGAAAGAAACACACAGCAGAATCGACCAGATTATGGGGTTCTTGAGCAGGGAAGCATCGGCGGCGCCCCCGTGCCAGTAACTGGCAAGACAGAATCGGTTCGTCCGATCGCAGTTTGGTGGTGTTTCGCATTAAGCATCCCGCTCATGTCAAGCCACCTCTGCCGCCCTGATGGAGGTTGTTGCCCCCCTTTTGAAAATAAAAGTCTGATACACATTTGCACTTGACAATTAATATGATCGACCAGTCTTCCAGCTGGCCGTGTTAACTCAAGCGCCCTGAAAAGATTGCCAAGCTCGGCGTCACCGCAGCGTTGTCGGGAGTCCAAAAATAAGCAGACATGAGTCGCCAACCCCAGATAATCAATTTAGAGTTGCACATTCATATTCCTACTCATGCGCTCTTGACTCTCTATGAAATAAACCCCTGCAACAGGAGGACCATTGTCCATGAACCAGAATGACGTCTCTTCTGATTAAATAGATTAACTCAGTTCTCTTTCGGGTTCGCTTTTGACGTTTTTTACTTAAGACTAGATCTGCCGGTGCCGCGATGGCGCATGCATGTTTTCGTGACAACCACACACGCTCTTTCTAGCTCCCATCGCTCATTTCACCAGTTGTTAGCAGTGTCTCCTGCGACATCATGGCTAACGCTATTCACTCTTTTGGTTCGGGGAGCGTCCGCTCATTGTTTTTGTGGTTTCTGCTTCACATACTCCTAATCAACGCTTCGCCCACACCCCGCGACAAGGTCGTCGTCACCAAGCGAGCCAGAACCCAGTTCCCCACGTTCGCCCAGGACTACGATGGCCGTGTGCAGAAGGGACAGTACTTGAATGATTTGTTCCCCCTCGACGATGCGAAGGCGGCCGAGTACAATGGCGGGGCTTCCGTGGCGAGTCCATATCAGGACCCGAGCGTGCTGAAAGCGAACGGTTGGACTAGATATATCTTTTGGTATCCCTTTGAGCAGGATAGCGGCGATGTCGAGGCACCGTTCGGCGCGGTGACGGATCCAGCCTTCGCCAACATGGGTCTTTCGATCGACAAGACGCCCGGCTATGACAACAACCTCGACAACGCGTTTGCGGACAAGGACCATCCGGTAGATGAGACAGAAGCGGGCGAGTACTACTACAGACACGACAGAGAGTTCGGTCAGGGCAAGAAGGTGAGGGACGCTTACATGCTTATCTGAGAATCCGCTGCTGACCCCGTTTGCTCAGCCCACGATGGCTTCCTATTCCAACGTGCTTGTTCCGGCCTCTGGTGCCTTCATCTTCGATGAAGACTACAGCCCTAGTTTTAGGAAGAGCGATTGGGGACTGGGTGACGTCCCCGACTTGGACACAATGTCGGATGTCGCCTTCTTCCAGTGGATCGACGCCTGCAAGGCGAAGAACATTCAACCCAACACCCTCAAACTCATCTTTGTATCCCACTGCACCAACCAGAAAACGTACGACATCGTTGTAGAGGCTTTGAAGGCAACCAAGTACAACAAGGTGCCCAGCTACGCCGACAAAGCAGTATTTGGCATGGATACTCCAGAGGGTCAAGCCATCCTCGGAACCGTATGGGGTAGTGCGACGTCTTGGATGCTTATCCAGCATAAGAAGGAGCTTGGCTTGAAGAAGATTAAAGAAGTCGCCATCTGGGGCCTTGGAAATGGCTTCGCTTTCGAAGAAGACCCAGAGGGCGAGGCGGCCAACTTGAATATGAGATTTGTAGTCGAGGACGCTTAAGTAGGAATACCAAAGCATGAACACATCCTGTACTTTGTCTGATTGCTAGCATTGTGGATTTGTGACCATGGACTGTTGCCTCAACCCTTGCTGGTCAAGGGTCTGCTGGCCAAGGCTCTGCTAGCCCAGGTTTTGCTGCTGGTGCTGTTGATGATGCTGATATTGGTGTTGCTGGTGCTGCTGCTACTGCTGACCAAGCCACTGCTGCTGACCCAGATCTTATTGTCGTCTCAGACCTTGTTGTTGACCGAGGCCATGTTGTTGACCGAGGCCATGTTGCCCCAGGCCTTGCTGATGGTCCAGGCCCTACTGCTGGCCAAGTCTTTGTGGTTGACCGAACGAAGATGGTATCCCGAGTTCTTCAGTGGTTATGGTGGTAAGTCGTGGACCGGCAGACTGTTGTTCGATCATGTCGCGAGATAACAGGATGCCAAGACTTTGTACGGTGGCAACGACCCAGTCAGCACAAGGTCCGGGCCAGCAGAGCAGGAACGTCCCTCACCGCTTATCTCGGTGCTGCTGAAGCATCAAGTTGCCCTTGACCTGCCTGTTGTTGTTTTGTACCGTGAAACCACTATATCAGCCCTCAATATCACAGTCGCGTCAGGACTCACTATCCGCAGCAGTTGTGGACAATTCGTGCTTGCTTATTATGTGCATGACTCAAACAGAGCCTCTACCAATCCTTTCGTACATCGGGGCCTGTCCCTCCTCTCGACGAAGCGATGCCCTCCATATCCGCCGGGCGGACCGTATGACCGGACCTCACCAAAGATGCTCCCCCTCGTGATCGAACGCGAGCCTCAGGCCCGCGGCGCAAAGATAATTCCAAAATGATGCCGAACGCCTGAAAACCGTGATGTCTTTTGATGCCGTACGCTGCTCTCCTTCCTGTATCATATCACTACAACGCGATCGCTCCTCGTCGATTCTCCCGGATGTGGAGCATGCCCTGGATGCCGCAGAAGATGAAGAAGCCCTGCGTGAAGTCCCAGAGTCAGTAAACGATCGATGATGCGTCTTGTTTAATGCAGTGGATGCCGGGACGCGACGTACAATGTAGACAAGGACAGCAACGAAGAGGGTGCCAGCGACGGCGCCGCCGTTCTCAGGGTCCTCCTTTCCTCCGACGAGTTCGGGGTGGTTCTTGGCGAACAGAATGCTCAGGATACCGAGGATGACGATACCGAAGACGGAAATGACGGTGCTGGAGTGGTCAAACAGTTAGCCGTCGCGATATCTCCAGGGCGCAGGTTGTCCAAAGGGACACACGTACCATTGCCATGCGGCGCCAGCACCAACGACGGGCTTCATGATTGCAGTGTGTTGCTGGGAAATGTCCTCCTCGGTTCGGGGTCGATGGGCACGGTGCGGATTTGTCGAGAACCTTGATATGCCGGGCGTGATGCGTTACGTTGTCGATGATGAAGCCGATGCGGTCGTCGGTGCTGTTGCTCCTGGCTCGCGAGGCTCCACCTTGGCCGCGGTGACGTCCAATGATCTTGCCTGACTTCCCAGGCGTCGCGGACCAGCATCAGCCACACATCGAGCTCCAGCCACATGTCGGGACGGGGCTGGTTTCCTCCGCTGGATGGATCCACTCTTCCCGTATCAATCATCGTGAGCTCGCCCGGACCTCTGTCCTGCATTTCAATCCGAAATCCATACTGCTTTGCATGTTGCAGGGCTCGGCGCCGAATAGATCTTCATTGCAGGATTCGATCAAACCAGCAGGTTCACAAGAGTCTTGTCACCGCTGATCTCTCTGTTCTGGCGCGATTCTGCTCATCAAATACCTCCGGCAAGTGGTCTCAGTTGATGCGGAGCTTCCCAGGCTTTCGACGGCGTCGGTTCTGTCCGCGAGCCCGCCGTGCTGCCCGGGTCCGCGGGTCGGCCGAAGGTTGCGAGGCTCTCTAACAATGGCGCCATCTCAGGCGAAGCCCGGACACGTCTGATGGCTGCATCACAGAAGAGACCCTCCGGCTCACGCATCTCCCATTGACCAATGGTTTCGACTACGTCGGCACCAAGGCCTGAAACGCTCCTCTTCACGGAGCCGAAGTCAAATCGAGCCGGAGTAGCGGATCGCTGCCAGTCTTTGGAGGCTCATGTCCACGGATCAGAAGTCTACGGTGGGCAACTACACGACATGTCCCGCGCACCAAACTCGGGCCCGCAGGGCTATCCGAGCTGGAACGGCCGTCCCTCACCTGACGCCAGCGAACGGTGCCGATCTGGGTGCTGGCGCATCTTGTCAGCGGCCCCAACTGCTGCACGAATGACATGTTCGAAAGACGGTTCGTCGAAAGGAAAGAAGATCGAATGCCAAGGCGCGACCGTCCAGTGCTGGCAGGCTCGACAGCATTGACAGCAGCGCTTCGTAGGGCGAGCGCGTTGCTCTTCTGGGATAAGCCTGCCAGTCGGCAGCGTCGTCCAAGTGTTCGTCGCTCGGGCATATCGAAACTGCGATCTGACCCAAAAGGGTCGCTGACATGTCTAACGGTGCACGAAAACAGACTTAGGGCATCAGTCATACGTTTTTCTCTTGAAACGACTGGCACTCTGCAAAGTCCTCTGCCCACAGAGCTTGCATCTCGAACTCTGCACACGAGCTGCCCAAACGGGAAAGAGACCATTGCGACCCCAGGATGAGCCGCACAACTCGTTCGTTGCGACGGTAGGACGACGTTCTGACGGCGGTGATGGCATACTGTCCCCGAGCACTCACCAGATGATGGCCATCACTCGCGCATAATGAAAGACGCCATGCTCACGTTCAGACTTGGGATGAAGGATTCGCCCCGTGGAGATTGGACATTTCGAGAACACATCTAGTCGAGATTTGACTTCTCCTATTCGCGCAACCGAGAGGTCCAACAGGACTTGGTTGGAACTTGTGTGTGTGTTTGCCAGAGTGTTTGCCAGCGGGGGAGAATGCTCTGAAACTGAAACATTGCCAGGAGTTGCCCATCTGCAACCACTCTGCCGATCCTCCGTTGGTTGGCACCATTCACTTTTCTGACCGCAGCTGCCTATGAAGAAAGCCATGTTGGGGGCGAAAGTGTAAATGCATGTTACAAGTGATGACAGAAGCCCAGGCGTCAGGGGTGGGAGCCCTATCAACCGAAGGGAACAGTTGGAGGCGATCTGGAAAAGGTGTCCAGCTGGTCAGCGCTAGCAACGCTGCCAATCGGTTCGGAATGGCAGTCTTTGGTTGCCGACCAGCTAGCCAATGGGGCGCGGCAGGGGGCCACAGGTTGGGTGAGCCATCGACAATTAGGATGCGACATGCGATATTGGGAAACATTGGCAAGGTGCCACACGTGCCTGCGAATCCGGAGAAACAAAACGAGGGCAGTGCCGTCTTTGTGGGTGACACTGGCACAACGTCAGCTAAAAATGGCTGGATATTAAAGGCGTGTTTGTTGTTGGGGTTCAGCCATGATGGATGTTTTGGGTTTGCTGTAGGCGAACTGACGAACAGGTCATGAGAGTCCATGACGACAAGGACAGGACATGACAGCAGTTCCACGCCGCCTACCGACGAACCTCAATCTCGTGTGTGTCCTGGTGCTCCTTGCCGTCTTAGATGAGATGTCAACAAACTTGGGAACAACGGCACCCAGCATGAAGAATAGACCCGACGACAGTCCGGATATCACCGGCGAGAGTTCCGTTGACCGACTCAAGCGCAGACCCCGACTACAAGGGAACGCCCTGAAACAGTGAAAAAGAAAAAGAAGCCTCTCTCTGGCGAGGAGATCGGAAAAGCGGCGAACGTCTGTGTCCCAGCGTCAACCATGGACCAGATTTACCGCAACCCATCGTCCGTACCACCGTTTCTTCGCTGCTGCCGTGGGTGGCCGGGTTCATGGGTCCCGAGTGCCCCTGTAAGCTGCAAGGAGCCAGATGAATACGGGACCTTGCAGAAAGACGTTGTCATTCAAAACGCGCCATAGGGGGGATTGGTGTGCTGGGAGGAAGATGACAAGACGGATCCGAGCGAGCGAGGCAATGTGCTCGGATGCGTTGGGCCGTTGGTCCTCTTCCGTGAGTTTGTTCACCATGTTTTCGTCAGGACACTCGTGGGTGTTCTTGGGGGCCCTTTTGCTCGTGGCCCTGGGGTCTGGGGGCGGTTGGCCCGGCCGTGAACCAGCTGGCACTAGGGTAACCCAGCAGGCCAGGCGCACGCAGAGGGGCGCTGTCAACACTACCCAAGGTAAAGTAATTCAGGGGGGTCACCTCAGGGCGCAAGCGGACGGCGGCCCCTAAGGTGACCTACCTACCTACGTAAGGTAGGGCAGCGAGGGTAGCGAGGCCCCGGGATCCCACGGCGGCTCCACTCGTACTCTAATCTCGACTCCCATTCCACGGGTTCCTCGTTGGGCGTCCAACTCACAATCACCACCAACCAACCAGGGCCCTCTATCCATCACACGCCAATGCGGCCACGGCGCCTAAGCGACCAAGCCGACATTCCTGCCATTGCCTTTTCTTCCGAAGCTGACGTCGACGAACGGGACCTGCGAATCGAGGAAACCTCTGGCAAAGAAGAGGAGAGGCTGGAGAATCACTCACTCCGCATGCAGTCATCATCTGGAGAGGTTGGCAGTCACCACTGCAGCCAGTCTGGGCTGTTTGTTTGGTCTACCTTCTTTTTTGACACAGCAGCGCTGCATGCCGCGGCATCCTGGCGTCTTTCCTGTGTCCCCTCTTGGGCGATTGACTCGCCAGCCTTGTTCTCTTTGGCGACTATCTGCATGTTCTGGGGCTCTGTGGCTCTGTGGCTCTGGGGGCGCGCATCGCATCTCGTCTGCAGTGCCTGCTGCTGCGTGCTGACTCTAAACTCCGAGACCTGCCCCATGCTGGCATGTTTCTATGATGCCCACTAGCTTATTTCGATTGGCAGGGACAGGGACAGGTTTCTGCGTAGCGCGGTGCTAAGCCAGGTACGAGAAACAAAGTCAGACACTACCAGCCGTCTGTTTGTTTTTTTTGTCAAAGGCTCCAACCGACATTCTGCGAATACTGGGGTCTGGTCTAGTGACTGAGGACCAACGAATAACCCTGTCCCAGTTACTTCGCCCGTTCCCTTTGGTAAAAGATCTCCAACACAAGTGTGTGTGTGCTTCCGCTCCGTCTGCCAGATTTAGTTGCGTGTCTGGCAGATTTCGGCGTCTTCTGTGCGTTTCCTCCTCTCGCCGTTGCATCTGGACAGCCCATGGCCCCCGAGGTTGGTCTCTTGGCCTTACCGCAGCAGCAGCATGCAGGTCGACACAGAACCGATTTATCCGTTCCCTTCATTGGGCGTCGAGGCCGTGAGTGAGCCGTGCCGCAGTAACCTTGCACTTACACCTACGCCAACGCCAACGGCAGACTCCCCGCCCCCTTCGAACCTTTTCTTTGCGTCCCCTCCCCTGTCGACCCTTTCTGCCTTCCCTCCCCTCCATCATCTCTTCTCCCGTCGCACAGGATGCGCACAAGGGCAACCCCTGGAGACTGGCCAAGATACGTACCCTTGCGAGAGACGGTGCTTCCTCGCCTGGACGCGCCGACGGCTAGGTGCCGTCCATTTCGCCCTAGGCCCCAGTCGTACACACGATGGATCATGGCATCCGATGTTGTTCTGGCTGCTTCTCTGGCTCCCGTTCCCTTCTTTGATTAGACCTGAGGTGGTGCAGGACAGGCTAGGGTGTCTCTCGACCCTGCCTTTGACATACATATGTGCCAAGGGAGCCTGGGGATATTACGCCTTTTGCCAATCCCATCCTCATCACATCTCGCCGTGTGGGCCATATAAGAGTCGCCGCTCAACATCTCGTGCAGATCCCTCTATTAGAGTTCTGTCTTCAACCTCCGCTCTTTCCACACTTTCGACTACTCACTTCCGTTTTCGTCAAGACGTGCCAGCGGTCCCTGCTTCTTAAGAACCACTCAGCCCCTCCCGTTCTGCTCTTTGCTCTCGGTGCTCACCTCACAAGCCCGCCCTTGATCAACACCGATTTTGCATTCCAACCGCATCAGTCTGTTTATCACCACTCAAAGACATCACGAGGTCAAAATGCGCGCTCAGTCTATCGTCTCCGTCATTGCAGCCGCGGCTGTTGGCCACGTTGCCGCTCAAACCACAGGCGTATGCTCTGCATTGCCCTTTCCTTGCTCATCGATACTGACATTGCTCACAGGAACTTGGTGATGCCACTGTCGTCAGCAACCCCGCTGGCTACGTTTACGAGGCTGTGCTCCCTGAGCAGCCGTTCTTCAAGGGCTCATTGGAGGGCAACGTGAAGGGCTCGATCGTCGCCATGTCGGCC